CGCTGGACGTAAACAGCATATGCTGTTCTCTGCATCATGCATCACAGGGATACACTGTTTTCGTTCAGATCAAATCACAACAAAGTAGGAAACAGATGACGCAGCTGGCGGATATTCTCCAAAATTACAAATTGTTCAATAAAGTGTTGTTGTTGGGTTTGTTTGTGCATAAAAAGTATTCTCGTAGATTCGTATAATTGCGGTTGAACCACTGATGTCACATGGATTGTTTTACTGATCTCCTTGCTACGTTTCTGGACCTGGGAACATTTCAGTTGTGTTGCTGTCTATGCAGGGTCACAGCTCTCAGATTCCATCAAAAATATCTTAAAATATCTTTGTTCCGAAGATGAATGAAGATCTTACGGGTTTGAAACGACATGAGGGTGAGTAATTAATGTCATAATTTTCATTTTTTGGTGAACTAACCCTTTAAGAGCTGCACAAGTAAAATGAACAGTATGAGTGGGGTTGGACATTTTTATGAAAAGGGATAAATCAAGCATATAAATTAATTTAAAACGTATAAATATACTATTACTGTCTTAATTGTTTAGATTTTTAGAAGGCGCATTAACTTGTTTCTTATTTACAACTCTGTGTTTGCTGCGTAAAAACATGATTTGATATTTGCATTGATCTGACCATAAACAGCAAGAAAGGCTTATTGGAAATGCAAATTCATTTTATGCCACGAGGTGGCGCTTTAGGAGCACTGAAATATTGTGGTTTCCCGGTAACGGCTGTACACAAAGCAGCTCTGCCCATTTTGACTTGAAACCATGCAGCAGCTTATATTTATTCAATGACATCATTGCCTTTTGAAGTTTAATCCAGCCATATCGCGACTCTTGTCTTTCCGTCCCCAATTGTAAGACCTCTTGAAATTATAATTAAGACATTTCTTATACCATTTAACGTAGTTAAAACTTTTTATGGCCTTAAGTTTGATACAACTCACTTTAGGAGTTTTTAAGGACCCGCGGGAGATCTGTATTTAAGATAGCCCGTCGGGCAGAGTGGTGATACATTTTGGTAGCCTGACTGGAAAACACAAAAGCCCCGGGACGTCGGGCTAGCGATTTTGCAAGCCCTGATGATTTATTTTTGCTGTTTTTTGCCTTTTTATTTTTTATAGTTTTTTGACAGGAAGCAAAATGGAAGAGAGAGAGAGAGTGCGCTTCGCTCAAACTGCTTCATCTGCTGGGGCTTATCAGCTTCTCTGAGGGTAAGAGAGAGAGAGAGAGAGAGAGGGGGGTGGGGTGGGGGGTGGTTAGGATTAGGAAAAGTCAGCGAGCTGGGTCTCGAACACGGGACGGCTGAAACACAACGGCACTATATGTCGGCACGCTACTATTGGCGCCAATGTGTTTATTTTGTTTTTGAGAGGAAAGCTCGCAGCACATATCTCTATATTCATCTAAATGCGCTCTCAGCCGTGTGGGGATGTTCGCTAACAGTAAAGAGCTGCTTGTGTACATCAAACTGAGAAATCAAAATTGTGTTCCACCTTGGTAAAAATCTAATTTCAGGGGGATGTTTCGCTTTAACCCATGGCAGCAGTATAAAAGCAGCCCAGTTCCACTTAAAAAAAGACTTGGCAACACTGTCGGCACTGACAGACTAGTGGTTAGTGCACTGACACATAGTGCAACTGCAACTCTGGCAACCCAAGTTCGAGTCCCGACTCATGGTCCTTTGCTAATCCCATTCCCAACTCTCCACCCCATGCTTTATTCTCTACTGTCCACTAAAAGCATGAACCCCCCCCCAAAAAAAGAACGACAATTATAGACTTGGCAACACCGTCCAAAATATTTTCATAAGCGCAATGTTTTTTCTTCTGTTGGGGTCATATTAAATAAAGCGACTATTCGGCAACAAAAATATTTGTTTTTTTGTTGATAATGTCGACTAATCATTTCAGCCCTAAACTGCACTGTTCTTGTTGGTTGCCAGGGCGTTGTTATGCAGTTCCTAAAGTGATCTGTGTGGTTTTACTGTGTTGATATGAGGTTCCTAACATGTTCTTGCTGGTTGCCAGAGTGTAGCTATGAGTTTGTGGATTCTTTCCATCCATTTTATTATATGCCAGGTGAAAATACAAAGTCTTTTTATTTGTTTATTTTTATTTATGTCTGTAACAGAAACGTGAGAGTTACAATATATGCCAAAGTTTACTACTTAAGGGGTTTGTTAAAAAGTATGAGCAATAGTACCAGTGATGCTTGCCTTAGAAATAAACTACATACAGCTAGTACAACTGGCTAAAATCAAAAAAGCACATGAGAGTTTTATGGTGACCATTATTACGGTCTCTCTCCTTTCCTTCCTCATTATTCGTGATGCATTACATGCCACGTCTGGTTCCCCACTGTCAGAGCCAACCAGAGAGGTGCTTTATACGGGATCATAACTCTGCAGGGAATGAATTGTAATCATGCGGTTTGGGTGCTATAACACAACAGTCACCCTCTCTTAGTAAAAAATGGATGTGCTGCCAATTTCACTTCCACGGTCTCTCTGATGGGGTCTCTGAAAGCTAGACAAAGACACATCATTATTTTAAAAAGCAGCTAAAAGTATGAAGATCAAAGAGGTAACAAATGCATTGCTTTTGATGGCGGAGGACAGACGATCACTGTGGACCTTTGGTGACATTTGCTTACATAACCTCATCCCCTAGTATGATTCAACACAAAAAAGACATTGTGTTATATATCCCCTCACCCTTAAAAAACAGAATAAAAATGATGATAATATTATAATAATTCAACATCATATTAAAAATACTTTAATATAATAATCCTGATATAAAAAAAATATATAAAAAATATATAAAAAAAATATCAATTGTTTTATTTATTTGTATATTTGAATAACATTTGTATTTTTTTAATCAATTTATTTTTTAAAAAGGGGACATAACCTCTTACTTGTGGTCAGATTTCATATATGCTGGTATGGCGCAATGTATAATACAGTAAAACTGCAGTAAAGACTATTTAAATGTAATTTAAAAATGCATGGTACTTCAAAGAATACCCTGGCATATTAAGTGACATGATCAATCTCTAACTGTGCTAACATGTAACATATGTTCAGTGGTGAATTAATGAAATCTGTGATAGCCATTCTCTTAGTGGTTCTATTCAGTTAGTTATTCTCTCCAAGGTCCAATTCTCATCAGGTCAAAGTATTGAGTGGTGTGGAAACCTCTCTCTCTCAAACACACACCCACAAATCATTAAGCACTAAACAGTGACTAGTGCTGAGGTTAACGTGAGGGCTATTTCTGAGCCATTGCGGAGGGCGGCTGGACTAAGCAACAGAATGAGCACAACATTATGGATGTGAGGGATTTCCCATCACGGATGAGTCATAGTCTCTCCCAGATGCAAGAGCCTTCACTGTGGGCTGTGCTGCACTCAACCCTGCAGCACACACAACCATGAAATCTGACAAAAACAAAAAAACCTCCCGCTTTCAATGAGAGCCTCTTGCTTTGGAGTGTTTCTGCATAGCTCAGCTGGTAAAGAGCTCATTTCACATTTAGATTCCTGACCACAAATAGACCCTTTCATTGTGGGAAGGTCCTTTAAAACAGAGGACAATATCATGAAATCATGACCTTTCAGATCACTGATGTCCAAGACCTTCTTAATTATCTCAGACTAGATTTTGTGTTATTATGTAGAGAAATAACCTTCATACTAATGCAATTTTACTATACTATGCAAATCTGCAATGAGCCTGTAGGATAAATCAAATCATAAGAGAATATTACATAACACCAGAACTTAGATAACAGGTAGGCAAACTAAGGGGTGTGATCTCCATCTTCCATCTCAAAAGATTTCATCAGATTATACAAAATGCAACATCACTAAAATATGACATGGACAGTGTCAAAAACAACTTTTTTAACTCTACACACACACACACACACACACACACACACACACACATATATATATATATATATTAACCACACTTTGATTTTTTCATGCATGATGTCATAATGGATCGAAATATATTAATTTCATTTTTTATACTGCTATCTCTGACAAAAACTTAATCAAACACGATCTTTAGGTGGGTGGATAAAGCTGCCCAGATGTTCAGCATCAACAGAGGGAGAAACCGAAAAAATGTAAACAATGAAAGATATGATTTCATTCATGTATAGCGTCATAATGCACGGAAATTTCCCGCGTTCTGTTTATTGCTGGAAGATGACGTGTCTTCATTCTTTGATCCAGATACTGGGTGTCATGGAAATGATGGAATGATATGATCAGAAATGCCCAGCATGTGAAAAATCTGGACTATAAATCTACCATGAAAAACATTTGTCATCCCCTATGAGTTTAAAAGTTGTCAAGTGTGAGCAAACGCCAGAAACTCTTTACCTGTTCTGCCAGCCTTGTAGTAAATTGGTATATTTGTTCAAAACCCCCTCCAAGTGTCTCTTTTGGGTCTGAGACGGGTGAGTGTCCGAGACAGCCCCTGTTCCGGGACTATACGAGCCGCTTCTTGCCTGTCTGTGTGCGGGATTCCCCAGATCCGCGGACCACTTTCCTTTACTGCTCCCTGAATGCGACACGTTCAACGTTTTTTCCATGATTATTCCAAACTCTGGATCATACAATGTGACGGTTCAAAATCCAAAGCACAGTTTCAAAAGCAAAACAAAGATACTGCTGAAAATTATCATCGTATGGAGAGGAGGTGACTGGAGATTATTTTCATTTTTTCTCTTGCTGGCTTGCCTGGGACTCTTTAATGGGCTTCTCCGCGTTTCCATTGGAATCAGTGTGTGGTCACTCCCCTCCCGCGCTCCACCGACAGGAATGCTGCGCTCGTGAATGTGAATATGATGGTTGAACGTAAATCCACGCCCCCTCATTATCATACGTACGGAAAAACAGCATTAATAATTAAAAAACACAGAAGTAAATGAATTGAAGTAATAAATATATTAAATTCAATATTAATAAAACAAATACAATTTATATAAATAAATTAATAACAAAATAAAAATGTCAATTTGCAGATATCAGCTTATGATTACCTACCTAATGATTTTTAATTTTTTTATTTTCTGTATTATGCTATGTGTTCTTTGAGAAGGAAATTACACTACTGTAATATTTTTTTTTTTACTTTTTTTCACACATTAAAAATATATTTTTAATAACGTGTTTTTATATTGTCGCAGTTTTAAACCTTCAACAAATCATGTTTTTATAACAGATTATGATTAAATTTGTGGGTCTTTTGTAAAATTCTATCAAGTCTGCATAAAGGCATTTGAACAGTGGCACAAACAGAGAGAAGACGAGAGAAAAAAGAAAGAAATAACCCCATTATGCAGATTTTGTCCTCGATACGGTATTTCTTTAAAACTATGAGTAACGTATGCATTAATATAATAGATATTAATGTAATTCGCTATTAAGGAATATTGTTCACAATGTATTCTGTTATAAGCTTCAATCTACCATAAGTAGAGTAAACAATTAGTTCCACACCTAATGAATTGCGGTATACACATAAACTTGGCCAGTCTGTGTCACGGTTTTTACAGCGACTATTTTAGGCAGCGAAAAGTAACCTGTGGGACCAAAAGAAAAACTACAACTCCCATAATCCCCAGCCATCGTTGATGACGCAGCCAAAAGGCGACCAACACGTTCCCTCCCACCGAGTAACTGCTTGACTTTATAGTATTATTACCTATATTGTTTACTTGAAACACTTATCCACTTGTGAAAAGCAAAGGTGGTTATGGCTGCTCCGCTGAAAGTATGTATTGTTGGTTCAGGAAACTGGTGAGTATGAACGTGTAATGATTAAATATGATAAATATGTGATTGGTAATGAGATTAATATACAGAACATATGGCGTGGACCAACTGTTGTAGCTCAGACATGACTTGCTTAGACTAGTGCACAAGTTTAATTCCCTATAAGAAACAGCAGTTACAGTGAGCTGATATTCCGATCCATATGTTAAGCATTATTATTCTGGGCAAAATCAAGTGATTAATGACTTAACTGCATTGATCTGAAGATCTGCACTGCATGCTGTATATGCTCATTTGACTGCAGCTGGCAAAGCAGCTTCTCGGAGTTGTAAACCCTGCTTGGAATGCCTGAGTGAACTGCTGTTTAACAACAGACTGGCATTTTGATTAAAGATACTGTTGTGATTTTCTGTGCCAAGGGGCTCTGCAATTGCAAGAATTATTGGCACCAATGCACAGAAACTCCAGCGCTTTGCCACCACAGTCAAGATGTGGGTTTATGAAGAAATGGTCAAGGAGAGAAAGCTCTCTGAGATCATCAACACAGAACACGAGAATGTCAAATACCTTCCAGGCTACACACTCCCAGAGAATGTGGTAAGACAGTTCCCTAATAGTTGTTAAATAATAATAATTGTGGATAATAATTCTATTTTTGTAAAGAAATTATGGTAAATACTGTGTAAAATAATACATAAGTGTCATTTGCATTTTTTTGCAATTTAATAATGATTAAGAAAGATAATAATAGATATAACAGATCCATGTGAAAATTAAATATTGCATTTGAAATTGATATTAGTCTTTCTCATTTGCATGCTTGCCATCTGTTGACTATCATTTGAAACAAAATCTTCTCTTGCATACCATTCTGCATAAATATAGTCTTGTTCAAGCTTGCTAGGGTGTGGATATAAGCATCAGATTTCTGGTGTTTCTTTTGTAGGTTGCGGTGCCGCAGCTTCGGGAAGCCGCAGAAGGTGCCGACCTCCTGGTTTTCGTTGTCCCTCATCAGTTTATCCGGAAACTGTGCGATGAGATTGTGGGCTGTGTTTCGGATAAGGCTCGTGGAATTACATTAATCAAAGTAAGAATGCTCTGCATTGTACAGTATATAATTGTAATGCTTTTTGAAGGGGGTTTACAAAGGTAAGGTTTTGTCGTTGTTTAACTATAACCTGATGCGGATTTGACAGCAGCCTTGAAACCAACTTGGTAACCTAGTTTTAAACTAGATAGTGGGTGTCAATTAGGCAGTAATTTGTCTAAAAATATTACTTTGCTTTATCAAATAAATTTTATTTTTAATGTGTTATGGAAGGGGGAAAAGTGTTTGTCTAAAATGTGGTCTAGACACTTTTCCCCTTCAGTAATATTATCAAATTAATTTTAAAGTAATATAAATGTATTTTTAAGTTTGAAAACAGAGATAGTTTACTACAGAGATATTTAGCTAAATTATTTATTTATTTTAAAAAAGGTTGCGCTCAGATTAATTTGGCTTAAAAAAACTGAAGGGCTATAAATGAGCATGATGATTCTTCTCAAAATGCATTTTCATAATGAACCAATGAGTTACCACACAAACAGACAAACAATATGGAACAAAATGTCCATCAATGACAAATTATGTAATTGTCTAAATAATTAAATAATATTGCTGTATACCTTCTGTATTATACTCAGCAATGTGCCAAAAAAATGCTTCCCGTGGCTGTTTTTGATTTAATATTCCAAGTTTTGGTCAAACCTTGTGCGTCCTCTTCCATGCAGACAGGATGTTCGGGAATGAACAATGCTGAGAAGTCTCTGACTTGATGTCTTTTTAAAAGTGCACCATATGTGGAGTGAATCATGGGTAAAAAACGGCCCTCTGGCCTGCTGGCAATCTCTTTGTGTGCAATTTATCTCCTGGTGCCAGTTTGTCTCCTCTGTTACTGGCTGTGCTGCACAGCGATGCATCTCTGCAGTTATACCTCACCAAATTAGATTTATCCTTTCCACTTCACTATTTGAAAAGTAGCCTAGTTTCTTACAGGGTTACCTGTTTAATTTTAAAAGATATGGTTTGTTTGTTCTCTTTTTCACATTTCTACCTGTTTCTTGTGTATGCATTTCACCTCCTTTATTATTTTTGTTCTGCGTTGGTGTTCCTCCTCATTTTTTGAGTCATTAGGCAAAGATGGTCCAAACAGCTGTGCTCCAGAGTTATATCTACTGAGGGGGAAATAGTGTGATGCTACATTAAAAAGGCATTGGTGTTGATGGACTCCTTTTTTATTTCTTTGTAGGGCATTGATGAAGGACCAGAAGGATTGAAGCTCATCTCTGATATAATTCGGGAAAAAATGGGCATTGATGTCAGTGTCCTAATGGGGGCCAACATTGCCAATGAAGTGGCAGCTGAGAAGTTCTGTGAGAGCACCATTGGTAAGTGAAAAGTGTTCTGTAGGTAGCATTGCATTCTAGCAACTAAACATGTTAAAAACCACCAGGGGCAAACTCAACAGATATTTTCTTCGATCCACAGGCAGCAAGGTGTTGGAGAACGGACTCTTGTTCAAAGAGCTCCTGCAGACGCCTAACTTCAGAATCACTGTGGTGGATGATGCTGACACAGTAGAGCTCTGTGGAGCCCTCAAGGTAAATATCAGTCTTGTCTCGTTGCTCATCCCAGGGGAAATATCTTGATTCTGGCACCTGAGATGCAGGGCTTCGGGGGCACGACTCAGACCTCTGTGCAAAGAAGAGCTTGCGTGGCTGAATTTACAATTAGATGCTGTAAGGCTGCTGTCTTCCTCGTAAATACATTGTAAAAATCGTTGTAATATTGACAGGCTTTGACAAATACTTTGGGTTATTTACAGCTTAAAGGGTTGGTTCATCTGAAACTGAAAATTCTGTTTTCGTTCACTCACCCTCATGTCGTCCTAAACCTGTGTGACTCTCTTTCTTCTGTGGAACACAAATTACATTTTTGTCCATACAATAGAAATCAGTGGTAACCAAAATTGCTTGGTTCCCAACATTCTTCGAAACATCTTTCTGCAGAAAAAAAGAAAAACATCATACATGTTTGAAACGACATGAAAGTGAGTAAATGGTGACAGAATTGTCATTGTTCCAAACCTATGTATGTCACGATAGAAGAAATGTTGAATAAACAATGAACTGACAACTATTTTCCCCTTATAATGAAAGTGAATGAATTTGGGCTGTTGACCTCCAAAAAGACAGAAAAGCACCATTACAATATACAAAGTAGTCTATATGAGTCTTCTGAAGCCATATAATGGCTTAGTTTGATAAACAGACCCAAATTTAAGTTGTTATTCACTTATAAGCTTTCCCTCTGCTGAAAATGTGGACTTCTGTGTTGTTTAAATCTTAAAGGTGTAATATGATGTTGCTAAAAAGAACATTATTTGGTGTAATGAAATGTTTATGCGGTTTAAGGTTCAAAAAACACGTTATTTTCCACATACTGTACATTATTGTTTCTCCTCTATGCCCCGCCTTTCTGAAACGCATCGATTTTTAAAAAGCTCATCGGTCTGAAAAGCGAGGTGTGCTGTGATTGGCCAGCTATCCAGTGCGTTGTGATTTGCCGAATACCTCAAGCATGTGACAGAAATGTTACGCCCCTTACCATACTGTCAGGTCGTGTCCTGGCCGGAGCGACGAGACACAAACATTAAAACCCATTATAATCGAGGCATTTCTTTCTTGTGTGGAATTTCTTTTTACGCTTTGCTGAAATTTCAGCTTTTCCATCACAGGAATAAATTACATTTTAAAATATATTAAAATAGAAAACATTTTATTATTAATTGTAATACTATTTCACAATATTACTGTTTGTTACTGTATTTTTAATCAAATAAATGCAGCCTTGGTGAGCATAAGATACTTCTTTCAAAAACATTTGAATGATAGTGTATCAAAAACTAGAATGT